TGCCCAGACTAAGCAAAGGTCTCAGTGCCACCTTTTATTAGCAATGGCTGAAGGAACTAGAACTATTCAGACAGAGGAAAGAAGGCTCCTATAGTGCCATAGTGACTGCTGACAGCCTCCAAGCACGAATGTCAGGCCAAGCTAAGGAAAAGAGCCACCTACCAACTAGAACCAGTGTCACTGGGTGCCAGAGGGAGTAAGGTCACCGGCACTGAAGGGTGATGGGATAAGCAGGGGCTGGGTACTGGCAATCAAGGATGCTCTGGAAGGAATTTCTGACCATGTACCTGCTGCTGTCCGGCCACCTCCTTCTTGCCTGCACCTTCCATCTTCGGTGAGAGTGGCCACCCGGAGGCACCTTCTTTGTTGCCACTGCTCATCAGCAACTTCTTGAGCTCCATATTTTCCTCCCTGGGTTGGAAGCAAAAAGAGAAGTCATATGCTGGCCCTGAGTTAAGGAGCCTGTGGGGCCTTACACACCATCACATGAGCTACATCTGAGTCCTGGGAGCACAGCAAGATCCTGAAACCTGCCCTCAGTGAAAACCAAAAAAGGCATCATTAAGCCACCTTGCTGGCAATCTGTGGGCTTCCCTAAAATCTCTGATCCTCAATGGCAGGGTTTCCCCAGATGCAGGATCTCTATATACACAAGATCCCCAAGATGTACTCAAACACTGCATTCAATAGCCCTGGATCACATTCTGGTGAGAAAGTTACACCCTCCCAAGTATCATCAAATTTCCCAGGGAGAGAAGGAGACAGTCTGAGTTTGGTACTAACAGGTCCTAAGCACCTCTCCCTGAGTCCTGAGTCCCCTCGATAACACAGCAGGGGCAAGCTGCAGGCTCAGAGCCTTCCGGGAACAATGGCACTTCATCAGAGCTTCTGTTTTCATTGTATTTATTTTTGAGTTACCTTCTATCTGTTATAGGTAATGCTTTTTTCCATTCACTTCAGTTTTCTTTATAATTTTAAGTAAAAATATGAATCAAGTTAAGCAAATAAGGTAGGTGATATGCATATCATAAAAACGATGATGTCCATTCATTGTTGGACTGAAATACAGAAAGCATTTATTTAGGTTTTATTTGCAAGCTGGGTTTCCACTTAATAATAGAAAAACCAAGAAGTAGATGACTTTCCCACGACTATACTACAAAGCCTTTTAAGGACTTGTACTCTTGCCTTCCAATCTATGAGTCTTTCTTCCAGGTTGGGTTTTTGGATGCATGAATGGAGTATTGATGGCTATAAACCCCAACTACATCCTTAGCCATTGAAAGGTAAATAAATATACACTGACTCTAAAGTTCAAGAGGGCTTATGAGTTCAACATTACCGTGGCCATACTTGTGAATTTTATATTCTCTTTCTGTTGATTCTAATAAGCAACAAGAGGGAAAACCCCAGAGTGGCAAGCACCATCTATAACACAGACCTCTCCTGCATGTACTGGAGCCCAATTGTACCCAGCAGATGGTGCATCACCCAAATTATCCTGGATCATAGTGCAGGCAGGAGGTCACTGTCACTGATTGGTGATGGGATGAGCAGGGGTGACTCAAGTGGATGGATGGCAAGAAGAGCCACCTTCTCACTGTAGGACCACAGCAAGTCCCTGCCTCTCTCTGGGCCTCAGTTTCTCTTCCACACAATGAGGGGTTTGGCATACATAATTGCAAAAGGCCCTTCAAGCTTGGACGGCCAAGATCAATGTTTCCCAAAGGATAATCCTCGGCCCACCTATATTATAATCCCAGAGATCCTTGGTGAAATGCAAACCTCAGACTCAACTCAGAATCTCACAGAGGAAGGGAGGGCAGGAGTCCCTGATCCTTGACCCTGGTTAAGCCTGGACCTACTAGTCCAGAGGAGGGGCCACCATGTTCTCAGAAGGACAGAGTGATCGGGATGGTGGCCAGCAGGGGGCAGCAAAGTCTCATGCCCGCTCTCGACATACCCAATTCCCAAACTGTTCCCAAGGAAGAAGTGCATGCAATCTGTCCCAACCTTCTTCTGAAGCTCTCAAGGCACTCCATACGTAGACACCTCCCAAGATATTAAAAGGGTCAGGAAGAAAATACCAAAGGCACCAAGGAAAAGGATCAAAAGACCTGACAGCCAAACACAGCTCAGAGCCCCAGGCCTCAGAACCCAGGTTTTCTAACCCCAAATCAGACCTGTGCACCACGCCTGCTCTGAGGGGCCCAGACTCACCGCAGCCTCTCAGCAGCCTGATCCCGCTGTTCCAGGCCCTTGTCCAGCTTGGCCTTCAGAGCCTCATTCTCTTTCCGAAGCTGCTCACATAGGGTCTGCAGGGAAGGTGGGTGTGGGGAGGGGAGGCAGGAGGGTAAGAGTGAGGGGGCATCCCCAAGTGTAGGTTGAGCTTGGAGAACAGGGAGGGGCTGCAGCCACTAAGAGCCAAGCCACTAGGTCCATCCAGATTCCTCTACATTTCCTGTCCCTTGGGAATCAGCCACAGGGCCACTAGTGCTCCAAGTTAGGCAGCCCCACCCCTTCTCCTCTTTCATCATGTTCTCACAGCCTCGAGACCTCTTCCCCACCAGCCTTGCCCTGGCTGACTTCTACTCCTTCAAGTCTTAGTTTAAATGTCACCTCCTCAGAGAAGTCCTCTGTGACTTCCCCATGCAGCTAAACTACGTCACCACTCACAGCTCACGCTCTCACCCTTCTCCATATTGGGACAAATCAAGCTGAAGAACCATGTGTGTGGTTGTTTTAATATTCAGCTCCCACTAGTACCTGAGCTCCCAGAGGGCTGAGACCACTCCCCATACTTTCTCTAGCCCTGCTGAAGGAATACATGACTAAACAGCGGAATGGACCAATGAACAAACGAACAAGTGAGACCTGGGGCGGGCCAGGGGCCTGTGAGTTTTGCCAATCTGCAGGGTGTGAAAGGCCTCCAGTGTTGTCAAATGTGAAGTTAGCAGACAGTCAAGGCCACCACGCTTGCATGGTACAGCTCAGGTTTCACCTCTGAGGCTCGGTTCCCTCCTCTATAAAATGGGGACACTGTTTCTCCTCTGCTTCCTTTGTGGGGTTGCTGCAATGGCCAAATGAGCCCAGGAGAGTTGAAGTGCCTCGTGAGTAGTCAGCCAGTTGATACTGAATGAGGACCTGTGTGTTAGAGGCACTGCACCAGGGGGACATGGAAGAGGGGTCACAACTCCGTGTCGGGGTGGGCAGGGAAGGGAGGTGCCAACTAGCAGCACTGATGTCCAGCATCAGTACAATGTCATGCAATCTTTCAACAAATAAATACCCACGGTGCATCTAACCTGTGCCAGGTACGTGGCGAGGTGTTTGTCCATACATTGCCTGCTTGGTGCCCCACAACTCCTCCAGAGTAAGTAATTCATCTCTACTTTAGAGGTCAGGAAACTGAGGTAAAGTGATACACAGGAAGTGACACTCACCTCTGGAATTAAACTCCATAAATCGGTGTCCCTCTCCCAGTAAGGAAAGAGGACAGAAGAGAGGGGTAGGGGACAGAGCATACACCAAACATCCATCTGCTCCCTTCTGTCTTCAGGCCCCTACTAGAAGGGGGTGATCATGTGACTGGTTTTGGCCAATGGAAGAGGAGCAGAGGGGACATTCCCCCAGGCACAATTGTTGGGTCTCCAGTTCTCTGCAGCAGGGGCTGATGTGCAGCCTCAGACTCCCAAGGGTACTAGATGGTAGGGCCCCTGTCCCTCTGGGACTCTAGATTTCAGGGTCCTTTATTTCCTTTCTGATTAATGCAGGTGTCTAGGATTAGCTCTAAATTGGAGAGGGATCTAAGGCTGAAGAGGAAACAAAATTATCCTTGCCAGTCTCTCCACCCCCCAATGCCTCACAGAGGGCCTAGGGCAATATGTGACCTTGGAAATGTTTGTTGAGTGAACCAAGATACAAATCAGTAAATGAATGAGGAGGAACCAGATTAATCTACCTCCACCCACATGAGATGCTCTTGCCTGTGGTGAGGCCTGCAGGGAATAGAACGTCCTCCTGGTCCCTACGGGAAGGCCAGGGAAGGCCTCACTTACTTATCCTACCCTTCCAGACTAGAGGGCTGTTTCCTTGAAAAACATCCTGATATACTGGGCAGCGCCAGTGGCTCACTGAGTAAGGTGCCCCATATACTGAGGGTGGCGGGTTCGAACCCGACCCTGGCCAAAATGTTACCAAAAAATACCTGGGCATTGTGGCGGGCGCCTGTAGTCCCAGCTACTAGGGAGGCTGAGGTAAAAGAATCACTTAAGCCCAAGAGCTGGAGGCTGCTGTAAGCTGTGACACCACATCACTCTACCAAGGGTGACAAAGTGAGACTCTGTCTCAAAATAAAGAAAATGCCCTGATATAAACTGTCCAACAGACAGGATCATCAGAGGTCACAAAGAACAGCATTGGTCGGGGCGGCACCTATGGCTCAAAGAACAGCACTGTCCTTCAAAGAGTCTAAGAAAGCTCATCTGTGAGTTCATTTGTTCATTCATTCATTCACCAAATGTGTACACAGTGTCAGACACTGGGATGCAATGGTGCCTCTTGTGTAGCTTACATTCTAGCAGGGAGCACACAAAAAAGACAAATACAATAAAATTATTATAAACTATGATAAGACATCAGAAGGAAACAAGCAGAGCCCTGATATAAAAATTAAAAGGCTTGTGGGAGGCCCAGGATGTATCTCCATTTCAAAGCAGAAAAGCGGATGCCAAGGTGTTCTTACCCTAGTCATGGCGTCAGGCACACTTTGCTAGGGCTCAGTTTGGACACCTTGGAGCCTTGCCAGCATCTGACAGGGGTCTCCTCTCTCAGTCTGGCCCTCTAGGCCCCCATAGCAAGCTCCATCTTTCATCCAGCCCCACCTCCCAAAGCACCCTCCCTTTGAGGTGGGATGGGCATCCTGTGAGCTCCTGCCTACACTTGCCAACATGAACCCTTCCCAAGGTCAAGCAAGATAGACTCCCCTCCTCCCATCAGCTGGGCACTTGATTGTCTGCTGACACAGATGATACCATAGATCAGAGACTGGCACAGGAGGAGGGTCCAGTACTCCTTACACCAGAGAATAAGGAGACTTCAAGTCATATCTCCATTGTTAAGGTGACAGGTCGTTTGGAAGCCTCAGTTTCAACCTTTTTGGAAAGGTTGCCAATTATAATTGAAAACTTCCCTACTTCTAAAACCCTCAAAGTTAAGACCCCCTGGTCAGTGTGCATGATTATCATTATAAAATCTTTTTTTTTTTGAGACAGAGTCTCATTTTGTTGCCCTTTACTGTGGCATCAGAGCTCACAACAACCTCAAATTCTAGGGCTCCAGAGATTCTCTTATCTTAGTCTCCCAAGTAGCTGGGACTATAGGCGCCCGCTACAATACCCAGCTATTTATAGAGACAGGGTCTTGCTCTTGCTCAGGTTGGTCCCGAACCAGCTCAGGACATGCACCTGCCATAGCTTCTCAGAGTGCTAGAATTCTACGGATGAGCCACTGCACCTGGCCCCCATGATAAAACCTTAATAGTGACTCTTTCCTGGCACTGACTATGCTCTGGACAGTACTAGATAATACAGCAATCCCATGAGGGAAGTGTTCCCAGCTCATGTCACTGAAAAGGACAGCAGTGGACAAAGAGGATAAGTGTGACTTGTCCAACCAAAGTCATACAACAAAAAAAGCGTCACTACTAAAACTAAGGGCTCTATAATGCCAAGGTCTTGGCCTGACCTAGCAAGGAAATCTGACCATCCCTATAGCCTAGGGAGGCTTTTAAATAGAATTCAATGGGGGAGGGGCAGGTTGGGATGGTGGTTAAGAGTATGGGCTTTGGAATACCACAGATCAAAGTTCTAATCCTAGCTTCACCATTTACCAGCTAAGTGACCTTGGCAAAAGACAATATCACCTGTGAAGTGGGGGTAAGGAGGGTTCCTACCTTGGGGGCAGAGGGTCTAAAATATAAAGAGCTGAGCTGATCTTTGGGGCAGTGCCTATAGCTTAGTGGGCAAGGTACCAGCCCCATATACTAGAGTGGCAGGTTCAAACCTGGCCCCAGACAAACTGCAACAACAAAAAATAGCCTGAAGTTGTGGCAAGCGCCTGTAGTCCCATCTATTCAGGAGGCTGAGGCAACAGAATCACCTAAGCCCAGGAGTTGGAGGCTGCTGTGAGCTGTGACATCACTGCACTCTACCGAGGGCAACGGGATAAGACTCTGTCTCAAGGGAAAAAAAGAGCTGGCCTTTGTTCTCTCCCTTCCTCCCCCCATAAGAACAGCAAAGGCAGGAGTGAAACCAACCTGCCCACTGTGCCTGAGGGTATCCCAAACCCAAATTAGCATTTCTCACCCCATAGTTCCTCATTTCCTTCCTCTTTGCTGCTTCCCACAACTTCCTTATCCTGTTCACTGCCCTGAACAAGGAGCTCAAAGTCGGTCTGCAACATAGCCCCTGGAGATCTCTGTGGAAGCCCTGGGTCCCCAGGAGCTAGAGTACAGGAGGAAGTGAAGGGGAAGCACCCCTACGTGTCCCAGGCTGCCCCTCACTCCACCTCACCTGCAGGATGGAGGTGCGCTGCTCATTCTTGTGCACCTTGGAGGCCAGCCGGTTAAACTCGAGGGCCATGCGGCCCAGGTGGGTGAAGAGCTGGCTGTGGTCCGGCTCCTCCGCACACACACTCAGCGTGGTCTCCAGGCGCTGCAGGTGCAGCATCAGGTTGCTGTCCTCGTGGGGCAGGGGGCCCAGCTCCTGGGGAAGACAGAGCACATGGACCACCCTTCATCAATGCCTGAGCAGGCACCACCAGCCCATTTTCCCTCTGCTTCCCCATTCCTCATGACTCAGTTTCCCCCTGTGACCCCAGCTCAGCCCAGGGAAATTCTCCAGTTACACAGGTTCCCTGTCTGGGGCTGACTCACAGGGCAGGACCCAGGACTCCCACACCACTGCCTGGCTACCAGCGGCAGAGTCACCTTCCTCCCACACTGTGGGTAAATCACTTGTCCACTGGGCCTCAGTATCCTCATCTACTAAGTGTTAACATATCCCTTCCCTCCCTCCTCCCTCACAGGGTTTGTATGAGGATGAATCACCTCGTGAGAGCAGTAAACCCAGAGAAGGGTATCACTATACAGCCAGCCCTCTGTATCTGTGGGTTCCACGACTCTAGATTCAACCAACCATGGATGGAATACATTTGGGAAAAAAACAGGGCTGAACATGTACAGACCTACTTTTCTTGTTATTATTCCTTAAACAATATACTGCAACAAATATTTCCATAGTATTTACATTGTACTAGGTGTCATAAGTAACCTAGAAATGATTTAAAGTAAGTGGGAAGTAAGTAAGTATGTTATATGCAAACATCACACCATTTTATTAATTTATCAGGGTCTTGAGCAGCCATGGATTTTGGTAGCTATGGGAGGTCCTAGAATTAACATCCCATGGATACTGAGAGGATAGATAGATAGATAGATAGATATAAATAGATTATGTATATATATACTGCTTCTTCAGCTCAGGAAGTCTTAAGCAGGGAGTCATAACTTAAGTCTATATATGTCTATCAGAGGACCCAAGACCCCCAAATAAGTTAAGAATCACAGCTCTAGATATTTCAAAGAATACCAAACTAGTACACTCCTGCCAAAGACACTGCCTTAGTGAAGCTAAGACTGTGCCCAATGATCCACACTGCTACCTTCCTACAGACATCAAGCCCAGCTCCTCTGCCAGGTGCCCAGGGCCCTACGGCAGCAGGTCCCAACTACAGCAGTGTCCAGCCAGGCTCCCCACTTTCTGCGCGTGAACCCACACATACCAGGTCCTATGCTTCTGCGGGCTGTACCTTCACAGTGTCCTCTCTGCCAGCAAGCCCTGTTCATCTTCCCACCCTGCCCAGGGCTCGGCTCTCCAGTAGGTCTCCACAGATATTTATGGGAATCACAGGGCATCAGAGCTAAAGGCAGCCTCAGGTTTAAGGCTGGGAAATTATGGTATAGGGAGAAGGAACTTGCCCAAAGTCACCCAGAGAGTGAGTGGCAGCACTAGGACTGAGGTTTCCTGAGTTGCAATCCAGTGTATGCTGTGCCACATTGACTTCCCACTTCTGTGAACTCTGGGGCAGAGATGATGACTAGAACCACAACCTGGCACTCCATGGATGCCTATTTAGTGCTGTTGGCACTGTACTCTGATAAGAGATAATGCTGCCTCTCCAACTCTGTGTTCACTCTTCCACTGCCTCTCTCCACTAAGGATTGCTGTGTGTGAGGCTCCTGAAGTGCTTCAAAGGCCTCTGATTTCTCCAGCTAGACTATAAGCTTCCAGAGGGAGGGAGGCTGTCTTGTGTTGCTTTAGCATAGGTGAGGCACATTGTAGCTTAAAGGAGGAACTTATTAAATGAGCTAAAGTTACTGATCTAGGATCATAAAGTGAAACACTTTCTGAGCAGGGAATGTTGCCTCCTTGATCAACATCTCAGAGCCCTTAAGGATGGAACAGGACAAGGGAATAGAGGTCCCAGGAGACAAAACATAAACTTCAGAGCTGCCACGTGCAGTGATGAGCCTTGCATGGCTGAAGACATTCCAGTATAAGCTGATACAGTACAAGGTCCAGATCGGTGGACCTTGTACTGGGGACCAACAGATACACAGGCAATCAGGGAACACAAGAGCAACACTTGCCACCAAATCCTTGTGAAATGAGGCAGCAGCAACCAAAGTATAATTAGTGAAGGGTTAGACCACGTATTGCAATTGCATGCACAACAGCAATAAAAAACACCTTCAAAGTGAGGAGGGAAGAGGGAGAAAGTAAGGAATTTAAGACCTTTGAAGAATCTTCTAGACCTTTCACAATTGTTCTCCAATACATCTGCCATTTTAAAAAGAACAGAAGGAAGACAAAGTTAGGGTAATGAAAGGGAGTATTACAAAGTATGGACTGAGGATGCTGCAGAGGCATCCCTGCCTTGCGAGGCCCTAGGCCTTTCCCACCCCACGACTCCCCTGGGCCAGGAGCCCACAGGACCCAGAGGGCTGAGTCATAGTGCACAGAGGTACCTGCCCCACAGAGGCCAACAGGGCTGGCACTGAACTCAGGTTTTCTCAATGGTTGAGTGCCTGTGCGCCCCAAGTCGGGGAAGTCACTAGCCCAGGGATTTGCATATGTGAGCGAGAAGCACCCCCTCCTCCAGTCCCTCATGTGTCCCCAAGTGACTCCAGAGTACCCAAGGGATATGAATGGGTCCTGTGCAGATGGAGGCAGATGGCTGAGACCCAGAGGAAGCAGTTAGGACATGCCCAGAGGCCTGCCTGTCCACTCACCATTGTGTTGGTGCGGCCGCCACTCTCTGGTGGAGAATTCTGTTCCTCAGTGGGGACCACTTCAAATTCAGAGGAGGTGCCCTGTACAGAAAGGGAGTTAGGCACTGTCCAAGGGAAAAATACCTTGGTCCTCCCTGGGGGACCCTACAGCTGACAGCAATAAGAGGGCAGAGAATGGAAGGACAAAACCCTTCTCACTTCCAGTTCATCTGGGCAGCCCACCTGGTACAGAGGGAGCTGGCCCAGGCTGAGCTCATAGGGACAGTTACACATCATTTCACACGAGAGCACAAGCCAGGGCTTCCAACAAGTCTGCCATGACCCTTGGTGTGATGTGAAGTTACATCCCCTCAGGGGCCAATTTCCTCACCTGTAAAATAGGGATGTTGGACTAGCTGACCTTTAGAATTGCATTTTCTTAAGGTCCTATACATCTAAAATGTTCCCATGAACTCCATTAGTTCTCAAAACAACTCATGGAGTGGTTCAGAAGGTTCTACCCTCTTTGGACAGATAAGGAAACTGAGGTTCTACAGTTAATTAATACAAAAGCAAGGACTAAAGTCAAGACTACAGATCCAGCATTCCTGCTATAGCACCAGAGCTGTCTCCTAGGCCCAGATATCTCCCCAGATTACACAGATAGTCATCATCATGGCCACTGGCAAGCACAGTCTGATGCTGGCCTTGCCAACACAGTCTCAGAGATCCCAGAGGAGTGAAGTGATGATAGACAGATACCCTGTAGCTGCAAGAAGTTGTGCATGTCCACATGTGCATGTAAGTGGAAGGTGTAACCTCCTACCTGTGTGCCCCAGAAGGAAGCCTGGTAGGGACCAAGACCTTGTACAAAGGGTAAATCACTGTCTTGTGTGGCCTTGAGCCTTTTCTGACCCCTCCTATTCTCCCTGGATGAGTCTCAAAAAGGGCTAACAAATTTGAAGACCCTTTAGGGCTTTACCCAAAGCCAACAGCTAAGGAATCCCAGATTTTTCCACACTTCTCAGCCATTCCCAGTAGAATTCATCAACTATTCAACCGATCAATAGGCTAGGGTCCATCTGGAACAGCAGCTGGCTCTAGGATTCTCATTAAAACTGCTCTCAAAGACTATTTTAGCCTTCCCTCGTCCTAGAAAGGGGCAGGAAGATGGGAAGAGCCCTATGCTCAGCTCCCAGTTGAGCCTCAGGGCTACCAATAACCAACTCTAGGCCTTAGCCCTGCCTTAGAAAGTCCCCTTCCTCCCCCACCCTCGTCTACATTTCCCCAATTACATGTGTGACCTCAAAAAGGCCCTTCTCCCACAGACTTGATCTTTAGGATGAAGATACTACACCATACAATCCCTTGGGGCTCTTCCAGCCCTAGAATACCAAGCAAAACTTCTCCAGCCAATCGGCAGAAGAGTTTCTGAGCCCTCTTTGAGAATATCAGTTCCATGTCAGATGTGTCTGTTTTCCTGGCACTGTGCAGTCACTGCAGGCCAACATTATGTAACTTAGTAAATGAGAAGAATTCTCTGTCTAAATCAGAGTCTTCCTGGTAAGTTTAAACTATAACCTTCGTTTCAAAATGAGGACCCAGAAGCCCCAAGACAGCTTGAGATTGATTTGCCCAATATCACTCAGCAAGTCAGAACATGGTTTCTTGACCCCAACTCTCTAAATACAACTTACACTGGATGGAGGCTTCTGGGCTGGTGCTGGCTTGTCACTGGGGCATGTAGGGGCAGTGGGAGTTGCTGGGACATTTGGGTCCGTTCCTGAAGATAGAAGAGAGCATGCATGGAGAGATTGGGAATGGGAAAAGTCCAGGTACTTCCCCGTCAGGGAAAGGCCTTGACTAAAGAATGCTCCAACTGAGTTGTCACCTGTGTCTGGAAGGATGGAAGACAGTCCCACCAGGGCCAAGAGGTCTGAGAAAACAACCTGCCCTGGACTGATAGGGATAGAGCCTATCCACAGAGACCATCTTCCTTGGGTTCGCTAGGAAAATTACAAGGTGGCCACTGCTCCTTGCTACTCTAGACATACCTCAGTGACGATAAGGACAATGATGTACCATTAACAAAGTGTTTTTATAGCTATTATTCCAGCCATTCTTGTAACAGTCCCTACTCCCATTTTAAAGGTATGGAAAATAAAGCTTGGGAAAGTTGTCATCTTGGCCACAGTCACATAACCAGCAATTCCACAACCAAGACAGACTTGGCTCTCCCTTCACAACCTCCTGGGGGGGGTCTTCATACAGGGAGCCACTTGAAGGTCCCTTAGTGTCTCACTCTGGGGGTAGGTCTGGCAGCAATTAGGGATGCAGAAAACATTGCTGATTGGGCAAGTGGAGGCTGGAATTTCCACTGACTGCAGCACAGTGGACTCTGAGAGCATCACTTTCTTCTATTTGTCTATTCAGCAAACCTAACCACCAGCCCAATGGAAGGCTGTCACAGTGGCCTGGGCCAAGAACATAAGGCAGAGCTGTAGAAAGCAGCATCTGAGTCCCAAGGGGACAGAGTCAGGGGAAATTTTACCTCCCAAGGTTCAGACCTTGCCCTGGACTTGGAGACATGCCAGGGAAGATGTGTGATGACCATACATAGGACTCTGCCCCCGAGGCACCCTCACCCTCTCCTCTAACAGGTAGTACATAGATAACAGGTAGTAAGTTTATATCTGAAATACACTGCAGCAGCCTACCAGACAGGTCTAGCCCCTTCTCTGGGCCTCAGCTTCCCAAACTATAACATGGAAGTGGGAGTGAGGTGCACAGACCAGAAAGCTTTCAACTCATATGCCAACTCCGAGTGACGGGAAGTAGCTGCCTGGAGTGCTAGGCCTGGCACACAGTAGCTACTCACTAAATATTTGTTGAATAAATTGCTGATAAAGATTCTGAGGCCACAAGATTGCAGTGCAGTTGACCGTGATCCATTGCTAACGTGTGCCAGGACCTCAGGAGTGCTATGTCACTGGCCATTTTTAACATTATTTTGAAGTCCCTTCCAAATCTGACTTTCTGAGAGATGCTGCAGCTACAAAATAAATGGGGGGGGGGATCAGTGGCTGGAGGATAAGTGAAAGGGTGTGGGTTTCAGAATAAGAAGGGAGTTCACTGTTAAGGGTTAGGCAGTTTGGGGGTGGGAAAAGGCAGAGGTACCCAGATTGCTCTCGTACCTGTGAGTTCAGCCAGCTGGTCGAAGGAGCCCAAGGAGGGAGAAGGTGGTGGGAGCGGCTCATTGTCCTTTACTAGCTCCTCTGCCTTCTGCCGGAGTCTGGATGCTTCCATCTGGGACTCTTCCAAAAGCTCCCCTGGAGGCAATGGGAAGAAGGAGCAAAACCATTTACTAAGCTCAGTGCACTGGTTCTCCAGACCCTGAAAACTGCTTCTGCCCAGCTGTCAAGACTCCAGGCCCTAGACTTCACTCCTACTGTCAGTCTGTGGACAAAATGGGACAAACTCTTCTGCCCCACACCAGAAACAGGCTAGAGGAAGCAAGAAGGCCCAGCAAACAGGAGAAATAGGAGTGGAAGGGAATCTAGGAAAATTTGCTATCCCTTTTACATCTGCCTTCACACCCAATCTGTGGACTCCACAGAAACCTAGGGGCTCTCTAGCCTAACACAATAACACCCAGGAGCTACCTGCAGCTTAAGCCCCAGAGTCACGTACTGTCTGCAGGGCAGACTCTTCATGATACCAACCAGCCCCATAGGCTTTAATTGTCCTCCTCCTACAAGTGGAGAAGGGGAACGTTCACTCCTCCCTCACCTGTCTGCCATCCCAAGCAGGGCTCTGTCAAGCAAAGAGAAAGCATTTTAAAAATCAGGGAGCTATGCTTACCCCCAAACCCTGAGACCAGAGAAGGTGGCAGCAAGGCGAAGAGTTTGAGACTTCTGTAGGAAACAGAGATCCCTTGGGATGGAGAACTAAATGAAGACCTGACATAGAGGAGGAGATGGCATCCATGCTGGGTGCTAATGCAGAGGACAGTTTGGTCATGTGGAGGTGGGTGGGGTTGTTCTTGGCAAAAGGGATAGCGTGAGCAAAAGCCAGAGGGGACACTAGGACCTACTACCTCCTTGCTCTAAGCCAAGCTCTGTTCTCTGTTCCAACACCTGGGGACCATGCCTTGAGAAGATGAGGCCATTCTGGTTCCATGTCCACAAACTGGGCCTTCTAGCTCCCTCTCCTACATCTCACATCTCTCTCTTGGCCCCTCAAAGTACCCTGAGTCTTGTCATCCTGATTTTGAAGTTCTGGTGAATCAGGGCAAGAGATATTGTCACCATGCTACAGAACTTCATAAAGACACAGCTGTGGGACAGGAGCCAATGCTGGGCCAGGCAGGACAGAGGGGTAACTTGGGGTGAGGCATGCCAGCTGCATTCTCTACTGCTGGGTAGAGGGGCTGGTATCACAGGCTGCAGGGAGAGGAGCTCGCAGGGAGGGTGCAGGGTCTGCTTTACCTAACATCTTTATCCCTTGCATTTTTTCCTTCAGCCGGGAATTCTCCTCCACTAGGCGCTCAAAAGCTGCGGATGCCTCTCCTGGAGGCACGCCACCCCCAGGGTCGTAGATCCGGTATGGTCCTCTCCCTTCCATGAGGATAGCTCAGCCCTATAGTGCATAATGCAAGGGTACTTGTTGGATTTATTAAGTATAGAGTATAAATGTCTTAACACAATAATTAAGTAAACAAAATGAGGTTTATATTAACCAGTGTGACATAAACACTCCTAATTCTATATGAAATCAGTACATTGTACCCCATACATGCATTAAGGTATACATGATCTATGCACTTATGATCTAATTAAAAAAAATAAAACCTCGGCTTGGCGCCTGTGGCTCAAGTGGCTAAGGCGCCA